TGGCTCTATTGCGACACCCTGAGTCATGTGGTCTGAGAGTGCTGTCATCATGCCGAGAGCTGCAGAATCCTGTCTAATTATAAACCTTCCGCAATTAGGCCAGGTGCTTGTGATCACACAGCTGTTCCGGAAATTCCCCCATCAGCACTAGAGACTTCAAAGGATGGCAGCGAGCGTACAACAGCAACCAGAGTTTGTCTTGCCGTTTCAACAGCACAGTGCAAAAGCAAAGCCACCCATGGGAACATGGCACAGCAACAAAAAACACCTTTTAGCTGGGCAGCTTTGGACAGGTGACGAAACCTCCCTGAACTTTGCTCTCTGGCTAAGACTTCAGGGTTTCTCCTTCAAGGCTGGGGATTAAGGTGGCACAGAGGATGTAAGCAGAGCATTTTAGCTGTTACATTCAACCTCTTTTTGTAACCCTCTCTAGATTGAGACAGTACATATTCTAAGCCAGACTCCTACCCTAGCTTTGTCCATTTAATCCCCAAGTGACTGCTGACCAGGTATGAAAGAGGTAATGTAGCTTGTTTTAAGATGCAATAGGCTGTAAACTTCATTGCTTACTTATACCTTCAGGCTGGGAGAAGAGGGTCCAGGAGCCAGGGGAGGTTTGGGAACAAAAGAAAAGTGCTTTTTGATGAAGTGAGTGGACTAGACTTGCTCCTGTTATCTTTGGTGATCAGCAAATACACCCTAGCAAACTCTGCATATAAAATACAGCTTGAAAAAACTCCTGGGTTACTAATGCAAGTTTGCAAATATAGCAACTGTAATGAAATGGATGCTTTTTAATGATTTCCTATAATGGTGTTTATATATGGAAGCCTTTTTCCCTATTGAAGCAATTTAATTGGAAAATGGCAAAGGAGTAAGAGGCAGCGGGCCAGTTTCGATTAACAAACACTGACTGTATGTACTCTGCTGCAGCCTCAATGAACTCCTCCAAGTTGCCCCCAGGGGACTGCCCTCCTAGGGGACCTGGGTGACCTTTCTCTGCCCAGACCAGCACTACTCCCTCTTCACCTGAACTGTTCGCATTTAGTCCACAGATTTCCACTCAGCTGAGACTTCTGAGAAGTGGGCTCGCACCCAAGGACACCATCAGGCACTCTGCAGCCTCCTGCATGGGCCTGACCCCACTCTGGGTCCTCCTGCTCACCTGTCAGCGTCTGCCAAAGAACTGTGGCTCCAAGAAGGTGCCCATGCCTATTCAGGTATTTCAGTGTCCCATGTGCAGGCACCATTAGGGACTCAAGGTCACTAAAGTCCCTCCGCACACAGCTTGCAATCTATCCTGAGATACCGACTGGTAATAGGGACGTGTGCACTCACGCATACACACACAAGCACACACACACAGTATTTCCTGGGGTAGAGCTATGTGGTATGAAGGGAATAAGTGTGAAAGACTGACACTGCAGACTGAAGAAGGGGCCCTGGGGAGGTCTGGGGAGGAGGCAGTGGACTAAGGGAATGGCATGTGCAGACAGCAGGACAGAGTGCTGCACGCAGAGCCACAGCCAATGCAGAGCCTAAAGGCCAGAGAAGTTACTTACTGGTTGGAGTGATACCAAGAGCGGAGGCCATGAGCAGGAAGACAAATAGGGAGAGTGGAAAAGGAGGAGGCTAGAGGCAAGAGCCCAGCCCCCAAGGGATCCTGCAGGCCACAGTGAGGAGCCTGGACATCACCCAGGTTTAAGGGGCTAGAATGCAGGAGTACGGCCCAGTACCTAACACAGCACCCAGTGGGTTCACTGAATAGGTGAATAAAGCTTCTCTGGTAGATAGAGCACACTGGGGAGAGGTATGAAGGCCCTCCACAGTTGAGTCTTGCCAGGAAAGACACTATTATTGGTTACAATTTACACATTTTTACATAAGGGACAAATGAAAAGAGATGATCTGAAATGAATGACTTGGGAAAATGAAGACGCCCCATTGCACAGACAGGCGGATGGAGGCGCCTAGCAGTAAGAATCGGTGCTGTAGATGCCGAGTGTGTCAGGAGCTCGAGAAATCCCACAGGAAAGATGCCCACTCAAGTGGGTTTACCCCTGTATCTCTCAAGCTTATTTCATCACAAGAGAGTGCAGGTCACTTCCTAATTTCATAAAATAGAATTTGAGAGCAACAAATGGAAAGATCAGTGCAAGGCTGACCCTCCGCAGATCTGGGAGCTTGGTGGCAGCTTGAACCTGTCTGGGTGCCCAAGGCTGGGAGTCAGATTCCAGAAGCCTGGGGCTGCTAGGGCTGGAGACCGACAATGCTCGTATGACCTGAGCATGTGGTGGTTTGGCTCAGGGCTGGTGGTAGGGTTCTGTGTGGCTTAACATGAAGCCTGGGGCTTCAGTTCGGATGAGTTTCGGCCTGCATCAAACTAACCTGAATGCAGAGCCCGAACTTTATGTTGTACCTAATGAAGCCTAGGGTGTCTTTACTCTTCAACAGATTCTGTCTGGTTGAAGCTGAGTATCAATCAGTATACAGCTCTCACTGACTCTGACACAGATAAATCCATCTTACTGGCCCTTCAAAGCAATCCAGACTGCTGAGCACCTCTTCCTTATTGGGGCCTTCTCTGTTCCGATAGCTAAACACTAGGGGTTCCCCACCTACCATTTTCTCCCTACGTCTCTGGCTGACTAGTTGATTGCTTCATTCATCTATTCAAACGGGATCTTTAAATATACACCACATGCCAGGCCCTGGGACAGGCTCTGGAAATGTACTAGATCAAACATTCTTCTGCCCAAGAGTTTAATGAGAGGCAAGTAAGTATACATACTTTAGAATTTCAATGTGACATAAGAAGGAAAAAAGTGGAACAGCACAGCACTCATACAGGCTGGGGCTTTCTGAGGAGGCACACTCACACCAAGACTAACGTGGGGCATTGCTGCCAGAGTCTGCTCATCAGCTGGTGGTCCCAAGACTTAGTCTCGGGCTCCATGTCCATCAACTTCCACAGCTTCCTTACCACGTGCAATAAGCTGTGGTCTCCTAGCTGCTTTTCTTCATCCCAGAACGCTCCACTTGACTTTTTACCTCAACGTTTACTGCCTTCCGAAGCTTCTCAATCCAGGTATCTCAAGATGCCTCAGAGTCCTGCCTCACAAAGCACCTATTCTCACACAGCGAAACAAAAAGAAACGAAGCTCAAAGCCAAACCACCTAATCCTTTTCCCCTGCACTCCCATACTGCTGAGTGGCCATGTCATCCACTCACTGCACAAGACAGGCTCTTCCGGACATTTACAGGCACATCTCCACCCTGTTTTCAATCCTTTAGCAAATCTTTCCAACTGTATATCTTTTCCACATCTATATTCTTTTCTAAATTAAATTGCCACCACCCTAGACCTAGCAGCAGTTGTATCCATCCAGGCTTTTGCACTGGTTTTCTGGCCGGCTTTCCCACTCACTCCTGCTTGTGAGTTCTTTCTTCACATTACAGAGAGATCAAGTTAAAAGGCACATCTGACCATCTCATCCCATCCCCCACTAGTAAAACCTTTGTTAGGTCTTTGGATGAAGGCTGGGCTCTCTAACATGGTCTGTAAGACTCAGGGTGACCCGGGCCCTGTCAACCTCTCCAGCCTCCCTCATCATACCGCAACAGTCTCTCACCTCCTCTGATGCATTTAGTCCCTTCACTGGGTGCCATCTCCTCCTTTACCTGCTTAACTCCTACTGATCCTCTGGATCTTAGGTCATATGTCACTTCCTAATGGAAGCCCTCCTAGAGCCCTGGACTGAATCAAATTCCTTTGCCATGTTTTCATGGTAGCACATTTAATGATATTATCACATATATACAGGCTTAGAATTAAATATAAAATGTATTATATTTGATTAAAATATCACTCCCCAGTGAAACGCTAACCTCCATGAAAACTCACTGTACTCACTTTCCCCCGGCTCTTTTTCCATCTCCCCTCTCCATGGGACCATCTTCTAAGACACACTGCCTCTCTCTTTGACGCCACACCCTTCCTACCACAGGCATCATTTTGGCTCCCAAGACTTCAAAGCCTCTACCTTGGACTTCCATCCCTCTCCTAACATCCAGGCAGGCATTTCCAAGCAGACCAGAGTCTTGCAACACTGTTACTGCACCCAGCAGTTTTTAGCAACTTACTACATGCACATATACAACAAACAAGTTTCATGAAACAGAATACTGACACTGCTGTTTTTCTTTTCTTTTCTATTTTTATGTGTAAGAGAAAACAAAATAACAACCACCAAGACAAAAACAAAACAATGCAAAAACAATGAAAACGATGCAGAATTTCAACACAAGGTGATAAGCCAACGATGGTTACACACTGTTATCCTCAACGAAGTTGCTCAGATTGCCAGATGTAAGCATGCAAGATTGATCAAACAATTAAAGAAGAAAAAACATTAGAAATGACACATGAGGGCCACAACCTGAAGTTTAAGATACGATGTACCAGATATTTCCACTCAGATATTGCTCTGCAACCTCAAACATAGTATGACTATTTCTCAACTTGTTTGTCAACCAAATTCCTTTCCAAAGATTATGATTATCCTCTTAGTCACTTAGGATCAACATGTTGAAGTCATTTGGATTCTTCCTTCTCACCCATTATTGCTAAAGTTACTAGGGCTCTGCCGCTGCAGAGGGTTAACACCACCACCTTTTCCACTCGCACCATTACAGTTCAGCTAATCTGCAAACTTGGAACACTGCAACAGCATTTTTAATTGGTTCTCTGCTCCCAGAATTTTCACACAGGTGACACAGGCTTCGGTCACAGTCCCATCGGCACAGAGAGCTAACTCAGCTCTTCAGTTCCACTTCGACTAACAAAGTAATGAGTAAGGGACTAAAATGGATGTGCTCTCACCCACTAACAAACTCCAACAATAATTAAATTTTAATTCAAGCTGGCCCATGTTTTTAAAATTCCTTCTGCAATTAAGAAAGGAAACCCGGGCTCAGTGCTGACGCCTGACAGACTCACCCATATCTGCAGTGACCATGGTGGACTGGTTTTCAGGGATGGAGATGGAGGTTTGGTCTTGGTCCATGCTGCGAGAATCCTCATTGACCTCATGCTGGCTCTGGCTGAGCTCTGATCGCAGTTCAGAGTATTCATCTTCCTCCCTGAGAAAAAAAGACAGACAGTCATCACTGACCAAAGATTCAAGACAAATCCCTAGAGATTCTGTCTTTTGAAGACAAGACAAAGACATTCAAAAAGAGAACTGGTAAATTTTTCACCCCATCCAGAGGCCAGGATTCCTTTCAGGCTCCACCGATGGTTACATCCAAGGCCAGCCAGGGCGTGAGAGTGAAAACATGCCTCTGCAGCAAATGCATACGCATGTACTGAGCAAGTCATCTATCAGGTGATGAGGAACTTTTCCCCTTCAAAGACTACTTGAAGAATTGGATTTCTCCACCCCCATTCCAAGGCTTAAGAAAAGTGACTACTGCCAAGGAGGTTACAGTAAGCAAAATAATTACAAGTCTACTGAATAACAACACTTCACCCATCATCTGGAAGATCCCATTGGCAGTGGCTTCTTCTTGGAAGAGAACACAGGGAAGTGTTAGGGTTGGAGAGACTGAGAAGGCAAAATCTCACCTAAGTTGATCAAACTGGACCTTTGGGAGGTATACTGATCAGCACATCTAAGAAATGCCATACTCGCTGGGCGTGGTGGCACACACCTGTAATCCCAGCACTCAGGAGGCTGAGGCAGGAGGATTGCTGTGAGTTCGAGGTCAGCCTGGGTTACAAAGTGAGCTCAAGTTCAGCCTGAATTGCATAGCGAGACCCTGTCTCAAAAAGCCAAAAGAAGAACTCAAAAAGAAAAAAAAGAAATGCCATATTCACTCCAATCCCTGAAGAGAGTAGAGTCAGGAGGTAGGGAAGGACAGGTAAGGAGAAAACACAAACAGGGAGTGAGAGAATACCACTGACGCAGTATTTCCTCCCATTTGCATGTGCGAGCAGGAAGGCAACACAGAACACAGCCACATATCACCTGCAGAAGCACATCTTTATCCCAGCCCAGCATGGACCCTGCAACCTTTGGTCTCTAAACTGTGCTATTAATGAGTTAAGAAAGTTCGCAACTGTCTTATGTCCTTCAAAGCACACACACTGCCCACTCATATACAGTCACCACACACATAGTGGATGTAGGCAGGGAAAACAAAACTCTCAATGTTTACTTTATAAGTGAGCCAGAAGAAAGTATCAGGGGATTTACTTGTGGAGTGGAAAGCCCAGTGGTGTCTGCTGAGTTCCCAGCGAAGGATGTGTGAAGCAAGATTTATTTAGGGAGGTCTACATTCTTGGGTTTTAAGGAGAGCAAGATGCTGAGTGGTCATCGTGGGGTTTTGGGAGAGAGATTTCTGTCAGAGAAATGTAAGACCTCTCCAAAGTGCTTGGTGCCCTACAGAAATCAGCATTCGCCCAGGAAAGGAATTCAGCTGCTTTGTAAATGAGCCTCTGCTTTATAAAGCACTTTAAATCAAAGCCATTCAGAAAACCAGGAAGACTAAACAAATATAAAGCCTCCAGTCATGAAATATATGAATTAAAATGGGAGTGGTAAAGGAGAAAAAGGTTAATATTCTCTGAATAAGTTAATTATTAGACATATGCAGAAGTCAACAATAATTAGGGTTAGGAAAGAAAACAATTAAAAAGTACTCTCAGGAGGAGCCGTTTTGGTCTAAAGGGTAATTGTTCGTGCAGGGATATGTCAGCTCTCCTTTCAGTTACCACTTGAGACCCTGATTTTAGTTAACAAGAGACTTTGTGTAAGATGAATAAATTATCTTTACTGCATGATCAATATAATCAGCTTCAGTGTAGCTGAGACTGTTTTATAGCTAAGAAAGTGAGTGATAAATGCTGCTGTTGTTTCTCTGGTACGAATGACATCTGCAAAAATTTTTAATAGCCACCTTAAACCTTTCTGGTTGGGCAGATTCCAAAACATATAGTTTCTGCTAAACCTCCTGCTTTGTAGTAAATTACTTCTACGGATTACCAGAACGGACCTTATGAAGAAGTGAGCAAGGAAGGGGTGGAAGAAGGCAGCTGTTAGTGTACAGCATCCCCTGACTGGGTCAGAGCACAGAAAGGGGATGATACCATCTTAGCAATGTGACCACAGGCATGGGCTCATGGTGTCATGAAATGCAAATTAAGGACCACTTAACATATATGAGGACCAGGAAAAGGACCAGACAGCAAAGCTGGGTGGAGTCTGTGTTGTAGGAGACAGAAATGTGATGACCAACTCTTACCCACGAGAGATGCTGAGGGGGGTGGATGGAGGAGCAACATCCGGGGCTGCTGGCGGGCAGTGCCCGGGGCTCTTCCAGAGGGAGCAGCACTCCTCGGGGTGTGCAGGAGAGCTCTGCTGGGCCACCGGGGTGGAAGGACACATGCAAAGGCTCAGAGGAACTTTGTGTCCTGGTGAGGAGCAAATGGGCACAGCATAGGAGCCTGGACTGGTGCTCAGGCTACTCACCAAGAGGACAGTTTTCATCAAAAGGAGGATGCATTATACAAAAGGAAACAAGTAGTCAGAGTTAGACTGTAAAAATAAAATCACTGTGTGAAAAGTCAAGGAATTCTCGGGAAAGAGTGAGTGTTACTAAGGTCTTATGTGGAAACAGACACAATGGACAAAAACACGGAGTCTCTGTATCCTCTACCCCACAGGAAAGGGTTAACATGAGCGCACTGATCCTGAAGTCGGAGACTGGGGCATGGCAACATGGCTGGAGCAATCGGGCATGACCTGACTGAACAGACCCACTAACCATGGTGCAGAACAGCAGCTCCTGAGCCTGACATGAGATAAAGCTCTGTACCTGGTACCGATCTTCTGACATGAAAACAAGCCAAGCCTAGCACCTGACACCAATCTTCTAGCACAAGACCCAGTGGGCCTACCTGGATCAACTGTCAAAGACGTAAAAAGGCAGCAGCACCTGACTGTGTGCTGTGCTCTTGTTCTTAGTCCATTTGGCTTGCAGGATGTTACCTCGTCTTTTTCCCTCGAGGCACTTTTCTCCTTGAGCACTTCTTTTGCCTGCCTTTTCCTTTTCTTATTTCTGCCCTAAAATAAACAGCCTCTTTTCACATTCACCAATGGAGAGCCTGACCAATCCTGACCAATTCACTGAACAGGGCACTAAGAATCTGGAAAACTGCCACTCCCTACTCCACCTGATAACAATCCCCAGTAAAAGTTCTTCTGTAACTGTAATATGTATTTTGAACACAAGCAAACAAAGGAAATGGTAATTAAGAGGCAGAAAACTACCTTACCGAAGGATCAGAGAAAGCTTTGTGGCGTAAGTAACAGAGGTTAAACTACACATCAGAAAAGCCTACAAGTTAGAAGATGTGGGCAGCTCTATTGTTTCTCCTACCAGCTTCAGTTAAAAAAAAAATCATGCAGTTGCATCTTTATCATCACCCATCAGCATCATTCCTGAAAGAGTTCGCAACCTAGAACAGGAAAAATTACAGAAGCAAATTTTGTCAGGGCTCTTTGTAAAATGATAATTGTGGGTGCAGTGTATGTAGCAGACACCTGATGGGGTTTTCTCTGTCATTCACAAGCACTGGACCACCAGGGGCAATGGAATAGGTCAGAAACACTCTGCTGGCCCAGGCAGGGTTTTCAAACATAAGATTCTGAGTTGTACATCCAAAGCTTCTCTGCACAGACTTGAGTCACCTACTGGAGAAGGGAACTTGCTGAGGACATAGCACCAGCTTCTCAAGATGACTTTACTATTCCCTTCCTTGCAGTGTATATATTGCAACTCCTACCTCTGGGGTAAAACACCCCGTAAAAAGATCTACTGCTAACTCTGATAATGGAAAGGAGGAAAATGTGAAAAAAATCTAAATAGTTACCACGTAAGACACAAAAAACAGAAGCCAAGACAAACTGATGAATGTTGATAATCATATTTTGTAGTGGATTTTTCATAATGATGAGATTACAAAGTTCTCAAGTGTTTCTCTCTGACTCACAGGATTCTAAATGTACACAAGTTCATGCACTTGTAAGCATCTGTGAGGTGCCTCCAAGCTGCTTTATTTAGGTTTGCAATGATCACTGCCTGTTATTAGCTGAAACAGAAAAAAATTTTTTTTCTCTGCAGAGAGCGCACACACTCTGTGATGACCAGGAGTGGCAGGAAAGTCACAGCTGGCAGACAGGAAGGGATCTGAGGGACCAATTAAGCCAGGATCAATGCTTTTATTTTAAAACTCAGAAAACCAAAACTTCCAGAGGAAGAGTGACTTACAAAACATTATGCAATTAGCTAGTAGTAGCCCAATCTACTTCCTAAGTTTCATATCAATGAAACAACAGTCTAATATTATGGCCTAGGGGAAAGATTTGTTACTATTTTTGCTTATTTTTAAAAAGTCCTCTTATTGGGTAGGAGTAAAATGATCTAATCTGAAAAGGGAAAAAATGGGAGTGTAATTCTTGTCATGCTTTTCAGACCTTAGGCTGAAGTACTATGGAGCTGACCACTCTTGACAAAATGTCACATCATTAGCTGTCCTCAGAGCTCCTTTAAGGATGTACATCATGCCTTTTCATTGGGTTGTAATGAGTTGGGAAAAACCAGATGCCATCTCTCTGTCTTGACATCTGTCAGTCAACTGTAGTGAGTGAACCCAGCATACTTGACCTGGTACAGTTTTTGTTGCACTACATTCTGTGTTTCTTACTATTAAACATAGACTTGCTCTAAAATGGCTGAGCTTAAAATAAAAAATTAAAATAATGAAGAAAGAGATTTTAGATACAGGGAGGAAATATGTTCCTTTCGGGTCTCATAAAAAAGCTATCACAGGAAGTAAGTGATGAGTAAAGTCTAGATTTTTCCCTCTGTCTGCCCACTTATTCTCCCAGGGAGCACAAAGCAGTGATGGCAAACCTTTCAGAGCTTTCAACAGTAGCCCACTGCAGCGCACAGGACATGGGCTCACCAGCATGGGCATAGAACACAGTCAGACTCATCTTGCAAGTCTTCTGGTGAATAACCGAACAAATGAGATTTTGAAATGCTTTTCCAAGGATGTAACGATCCATCCTTGTCAT